TCCCTACATTTTTTTTAAGTATTTAACTTATGATGTAAAAAGTGTATCTGGATTCTATATTTTCAATAATAAGTGTATCTTGTGTAATGTCATGTTAGTTTCAATTTTTATACCAGTGCCTAGTAACTAAAGTGCAGAAAAAAAACATCCTTGTCATATAAAAACATATTTTATAATAGAAGCCTTGCTTTTGGAGTGCTCTTGATCTTGGTGACTTTAGCATCAAGAATTGCCAACCAATGTTCAAGGCATAATTTAAAGAATAGCTTTAATATCTTTTAGAAGAAGCTTTTGAAACCTTCTAGAAGTTCTTGAAACATCTTCATACTAATCTTCTAGGAACTTCCATAAATTCTTAGAAAAATTTCCATAAATTTTCAGTAGGATTAATTCCAGGATACAAGGTGTGAAGAAAAAATCCAAATGCCAAATATGATCATGGTTGGACTGATCATATCACGGAGAGATGGAAATGGAGGCTGTTACACATTAAAAATTGAAAGAGAGGGAAAAGAAGATCAAGTCCGTTGATCCAAAACTCTAATGGAGATTATTTAGGATGTTTCTACAAAATACTCCATGGGAATAGGGCTTAGATGGCCAAACCATGATAGTTTGAGGATAAACTTTATTGCTAATGATTTATTAGCATTTAAGTTTTTTCAATACATTATAAAAGTTATTAGGGTAGCAGATGTATAATTTAATGACATATCTTGTAGGTTGTTAAGGAATTATCCCTTATCAGTTTTCTTAGCTTTTAGTTTTTAGCTTTTATGTTATGTTTTCCATAATAATAGGCCATTATCTTATATCTTTTTCATTCATCAATTGAAGAATCAAGTCTCTCGCTTTCTCCTTTCCTTGCTCGTCTCCTCTAACTTCCCTAGCCAATTAATGCATCTCCAAGTATTATAATTTCTACCACTACTGCTAAACTCCAATGTTTTCTAGTACGTCAATCTTTTTAGGATTACCCTTCACTTGCCTTCTCTCTCTACCCGAGTATGTAAAAGAAGAAAAGCCAAGGTGCGTGAAATTTTAGCTTGAAATTGCTTGAAGCTGGAATTTTTCTCTCATATCAAGATAAACTTGCTAAGCCACAATCCAAATTATTGGCTTAGTTCGTTCTTTGAGCCAACTTTGAGTTGAGTCTGGATTGGATCGAGTTGGCTTCAGATTAGCTAAAACTATTAATAGAACATACATTTTTTAAATTTGATATAAATATTTATGTACATATGCATGTGAGTATTTTACTTAACATCAACATCTTTTAAAAATTTGAAAAATAGAAAATAAAATAATTTCATGTCAGCTTGAAATTAAATTAGTCGATCCATGAGCAGATTTTGAGCTAATTTGTATAACTTTGAGTTGATTTTATGGTGGGATTGAATTGCCTTGAAATTGGACCATTCTCACCCTTAGTTAGGCCCCCATCAAGGAAGCAAGAGATTTTAAGAAAGGGAAGAAGGAAGAGCCCAAGTTATATGGAGGATTCAAAGTGGAAGATTAAGTGAAGTGCTCATGGTGTCTTTCATCAAGTAGTCATCAAGAAATTTAGTAAAGCTCTAGCAACACTAGTTTGCTACTCAATTCAATTCTCTTTGAACTCTTTTTAGCACATAAATCTCTTTTGTTTTTTACAAGACCATACCCTCACCACTAAGCCCATTGCCTGGCCAAATTCCATTACAAGGAATGCGCTCAAATTAGAGCTTTTACAAGCAAGCTCCCTGCCAATGTGCAGGAAGCAAATAATTGAAAATAATTTTTGTATACATGGACATAGAACAATGACATTTAATATTTTTGTGTAAATCTTACTCATGATAGTGGGTGTGCAGTCTTTAGAAAACAACATTCATGTTTTGAGAATGAAAGTAAATTACAGAATGAACGTAAAGTTTCAAGCAAAAACTTCAGTGAAATGCTGCAAACTTCTGCCAAGTGTAGGAAAATAATTCAAATTTTATAAACTCTTAGAATTTGACATCATAACATTGATGATAATGCTCATATCGAGTAGTCAAATAACTACAAAATGATGGATAACATCATGTTGGTTATACAACTTATTAGCTCTAAAAATGAACTAAATAATATTATGGCAGAATGAAATGCAGATTTATGTTTTAATTATTATTTGAATTGGGTTAATTTAAACCGGTATGAAAGTGCATAATGACATCACCATTAATAAAACACCCACACAAGTTAATTTTATTTTCATAACTTTGAAATGTTCTTGCAAATTCTGGCATAAGTTGCATCATCAGGCAGCATTCATTTGATCATCAAGCACCCATGCATAGTATAATGAAAGTTAAAATGCAGATCGAAAGATGAGAATAACATTTAAATTTATTATGTCAAAATACAATTATAGATGTTGTGATAGGTAATCACTTAAACGATTATGCTTATATTTTCAGATTATTTATGTTTATATTTAAGGTATACTGTATTTTTTACTTCATCTATCTGAACTTACATTATTGATTAAATACAACAAAAACTAAATCATTTGAGGATGAACTATGCATTTCGGATGTACAATCATTACACCATATTGAGATTCACATGAAGTCCTAAAAGGGTCATCAATTTATGTTATGTGATGATGTTGTAGAAGGCCAAAAAATAAGAGCTCAATGTTTTTTACAAAATAAGTGGAAAAAGTATGTGCTGTGGTTGGATTAATATCACAAACTCTTCATGGTTTGGAGAGAAAGAAAACCTGTAGATTTTCAAGAATATGTACCATATCGTGATAGCATGGTTGTGGAAAAGTTAGAATTTCATAAGAATATAAATACAGGAGACTTATGATTTGCCAAAATAATAATAATAATAATAATAATATTAAAGTTATGCTTATTTAACTATTGTTATTAATTTAAGATGAACCTAGATGCTTGTTTGATTTTGAGATTAAATCATGATGTCTACATACTAAAAACTTGTGGGATTCTTAACTTACGGTTTGTTTGGGACAACTTTCTGTTTTCCTGTTTTTTAAACCGCTGTCACAGT